AAAGAAAGGGAGCTCCCTTTCCCCCAATTATTGGCTCTGACAATGATATATATTCATTTATACCCTGCCTCTGTCACTGACTGGACTCAAGAGTACCCCCAAGGGGATGATCACATATTCTTTTCCTGCGTAGCCCAACCTCTACTTCCAGTGTTTCCAGTCAGATTATTATATTATATAATAATATATATTATTATTATTATTATTATTATTATTATTATTATTATTATATATCATATTGCTGTTTATTTACAGCAATTGTACCCCATCCTTTAGCAGTAAAGGCTCTCAGAGCAGCTTACAAAAAACCATTAAAACTTAGACTTTTAAGTTCCTCCAGCCAGGGACCCATCCTATGTTGGGCATAATGCACACTGATAGTCACAAGTCTGCTAGAAGTTGGAAAACCACCACAGGATTCTGTAAATCACATAAAACCATTGTTATTTCAAGGAGGTTTTAGGTGGTATACAACAATGCAGGATTCATGTCTAAAAACCCTGTCGTCCCTGCACCCTTTAAGAGATGAATTCTGTTCATTTCATAAAATATTACTTCTCTTGGCTCTTGTTTTGTGCTGAGATGGTATTGTGTGGGCAAGTTAAACTTTAAGGTAGGCTTTTGTGGTGTATCATGGTGACACCTGCTGTAGGTGGTATCTGCTAGGCTTTGAGCTATCTAGAAGAACATAAGAACAGCCTGCTAGTTCAGCATCCTTTTCCCACAGGGGCCAACCAGATCCCCATGGGATATCAGCAATCAGAGCTGAGCTCAAGAGCACTCCTCTTCCCTGTGGCTTCCAGCAATGCATTTAGAAACAATAATGCCTCCAACTGCGGAGGCAGAGCAGAGCCATCATAGCTAGTAGTCACTGATAGTCCTCTCCTCCATGAATTTGTCTAATCATCTTTTAAAACCATCAAAGTTGGTGGCTATCATTGCTTTTCATGGCAGCGAGTGCCATATTTTGCTGTGTGAAGAAGTACTTTATTTTATCTGTCCTGAATCTTCCAAAATTCTGCTTCAGTGAATGTCCAAGAGTTCTAGTGTTTTCAGTTTCAGTTTATTGTGTTTTAGCAAACAGCCATTACAAACATAAAAATAACAATAACAACAATACCAAAAATAGGAATGAGAAGGACCCCCTTGTTGTTATATGCGGATGACGCGGCCATCATCTCACGTTCCAGACCAGGTTTGAAATATCTGCTGAGGAAGTTTTGGAGATGGTTTATCCATTAATTATGAAAAATCTAAAATTTTAGTATTCAAAAGAAGCTTCTCCCGGTCTAAATGGGTGCTGGATGGCCATAACCTTGAACAGATTAAATACTTCAGTTATCTAGGGCTCACATTCCATCATACAAGATCTTGGAAGCACCACTGGCAAACCTCCCTTCAAAAGGCAGAGATCACAAAGCTAGTCATACTCAGATTCTTTTTCACAAAGCGTGGCAAGTATGTTCCAGCAGCCTTAAGGTTTTTCAATGCAAAATCTGTTTCTCAACTCCTGTACGCTACAAATGTCTGGCATAATGGGGACCTGCCTAAGCTGGATGGCTTTCAGGCAAAATTTCTACGATCTCTGCTTAAGGTACCCAACTGTGTCCCCAACTCCATACGTCTTTTAGAAGCTGGTCAATGCCCAATTTCAACTAAAGCGTGGTGGGCTGCCCTAAAACATTGGCTCAGGATTGTAGTGTTTGATCTAGGGAAGGGTTTGTATCAACACCTGACCAATGAGGAGTTTGTCAGCAATTGGCAGAAAACCATGGCTAGAAAAGCCACCTCTTTTGGTCTGTCACCCCTCCCCCTTTATTACCTGGGTTATGAAGGCGCCCTAAAGAAGTTAAAGCAAAGATTATGGGATAATGCACACAGTGAATTGCGATCTCAATCACACGCAGTCTGTAATCCGCTGGCAGAAGGAGTACAATACAGTGGTACCTCGGGTTAAGTACTTAATTCGTTCCAGAGGTCCATTCTTAACCTGAAACTGTTCTTAACCTGAAGCACCACTTTAGCTAATGGGGCCTCCTGCTGCTGCTGTGCTGCTGGAGCACGATTTCTGTTCTCATCCTGAAGCAAAGTTCTTAACCCAAGGTACTATTTCTGGGTTAGTGGAGTCTGTAACCTGAAGCGTATGTAACCTGAAGTGTATGCAACCCGAGGTACCACTGTATGGGCCAAATTATTACAGTACCAAATTATTGAAGGTTATTCACCAAAGCCAGACTAAACGTCTTTGCTTCTGCAGTGTTGGATGGCAGGTTGAGAGGAGTTTCCTACCAGGACAGACTTTGCTCGTGTGCTCAAGACAACGATTCTATAAAACATATTTTGCTGCACTGTGCGAAATATGAGCAAGCCAGGGCTGAACTGATTTTCCCGGGAAAATCAGTGGATCACTATGTCAGGTTCCTATGGGAAGACTGGACAAACGCTAGAACATTAGCAGTGGCAATGTTTTTATCAATGGTTGCAAGAACCAGTGATCCCTATCTTTAAGTCTGAACAAAATGCTTGTTTAACCTGGAGGTAGGATGTCTGAATTATGCATTGCTTTGTAACGATTTGTTGGGTCTCTGGACCGTAATAAAGATTGATTGAACAACAATACTGCTTAGGGTTGCCAACAACAACTTTCACTGGGTGATTTTCCTAAAAAGAAGCTCAACAACTTTCCAAAAAAGTTCAACAACTTTTTTGTCCAGGTGTTTACTTCTTGAAATATGGCAATCCTAATACTGCTACTAATAGTGGTTTACATTTCCCATACTTGCTTTAAATTTTGTTACACAAATTTGTAGAGCCCTAGTGAGAAATTTGAATGTTCTGAAGGATATATACTTCTCAACATCAGGCACTCTCAACAACAAACTCAAGCATGCAACACTCTTACTAGGAAAAAGAAACTGCACTGAGAGGGCTTTCATACAATCTGGTGCTGGCATGGAGTCCCCAGTTCACATGTTGTTTGGGGCATGTGACAGAGCGGAGGGGCACCTGCCCACTCCTCCACTGCATGAAGGTTGCCTCTGGTGACACACAAACTGGGGTCTCAATGGCTGCTGTCGAGACCACAGTGCAATCTTCCCATTCATCTGATCCAGGGAAAGTTTTCTGAATGCTCTAATGCTCCAGAGAACTCGGGAAGCAACGCTACATGGCTGGAAGATACAGACATGTAGAGCAAGGGAGCTCCGAGACTCAGAAATGGGAATATGCAAGTCAGATGAAGAAATGAAAGACAGGAGGGGGGGGAAACTTGGTGAGCTCTCAGGAGCTCCTAGAATGAAATCCAAGGCAGAGGAAACGACAAAGGCAAGTAGTTATCTGGGAACAGAGGAGGAGGAGGAGGGCAAAGTTAGAGACGCAGCAGGAAAGAACAGAGGGATGTGAATGAGGTGGGAAAGTTTCGGGGAAGCAGAGAAATGTTTGCAAGGAGAGCAAAAGCAGGTAGCGATAGGAGCTGGAAATGCAAGCTGTTACGGAGCTAGAAGAGAAGAGCACAGTGAACATCCAAAATGGTAAGAGCAAAACTCAGACGCAGTGAGGCAGAAGCCAAGTGACTCTTTCAGGAGGAAGGGCCACAACTCACTGGCAGAGCATCTTTTTGGATGCAGAAGGTCCAAGGTTCAATCCCTGGCAGCATCTCCAGGTACAGAGACTCCCTGCTCGGATTGTTCCTCTGTCTCTCCCAAGGCTAGAAGAGTGCTCTCTCTGAACAGCCACCAACTACCAAACCTCCGCAGTCCAGCACAGTCTTGCCCCCTTTTCTTTGTGTGTGCTACCTTGTCCAGGAAGAGGCATTCTTGTTTCATTTTCATTCTACCTGTTCTTTTTAAACTAAGGTTATGTTGTATTGTAGGGGTGGTTTGACTGGGACCCTGCAATCCTATAGACCCTGGAAGGGTGACACAGGAGCCCTAGGATGCACTAAGTCCCCCTATCCCGGGGGGGGGGGAGAGGTGAGGCAGAAGCCGTCCCTTAGAGAGGGAGATCCAGCACTGCATGCCTCCTCTGATTGGTTCTGGAAATATCTGCAGTCAGGCCCTCCCCAATGTCAGTGAGGGCTAAAGCTAGACATTCCAGAAGCTTCTCTCTCATTCCTCTGCACACACCAGAAAGGGGGTCAACCTGTGCCAGCCTTTGCGTGGCGAGTTCCCGCCCCCCACCAGGATAAATAAAGACACGATAAAGGGAGATAGGAAAGGTTTCTCTCAATATTTTATTGTGTTGCTCTCAAATATTATCTACACATAATAAATTCCTGCACTCTGCTAGGAGGGTCAAAACAGCCCAAAATTGCAGTAGCTTGCAAGAGTCTAAAACAGACAGGTCAAGAGGTCATTTTCTGCCTAACCAGCTACTTGAAACTGCTGATATTAGCTACAGGTCAGAAGGTCGCTTCCTGCCCAGCCAGAAACTGCTGTTAACCGAAAAACCACTAGCAAGATGTTTCCTGCTTTACTTCTGCTTTTAAGTAATGCAAGAATAGGAAGAGATACGAAGAGAATGCTTAGCTAGAAAAAGAAGACACGTGTACAAGGAGGTGGGAGGGAGTGCTTGGCTTAGCAGAAAGACAGGAATGTCTAGCAAGCAATAAAATTGTGTTTAGCAAGCAATATTTGCTAGCCGATTGGGGAAGTCTGGGGGTATAAGAAAGTCTGTTGAAGTGTCTTGCTTTACAGCCAGTGTATTTTTAGGAACTATCCAGCTGGTTGTCTCTGAGTACAGACCTTGTCTCTGTGCACAGATCTCAATAAACTCTTTTTCTCCAAAGAAGATTTTGCTTTCCTGGTACTTTTGTTCCCTCCGAGGTCCAGGGGATGGCGTGGCTAATGGATCCCTAGGTAAATAAGGCTTCATCTCTCTGGGGGCTCGTCCGGGATTTGCCCCCTCCCCAAAATACGGACCGGAGGGCCAGGCTCAACCAAGGTGAACAGCTCAGCAGCGTTTGCAGGCTCCCGTGCGCACCCCGCCTGTTTCGTGGGGGAGCCAGCCACACTGTTCTGGAGTGGAGACATCTAGTTGAGGGAGAACAAGAGGACGGCGCCGAGGGGACAGGTCCGCAGCGGAAAAAGGTAAGCCCGGCGGAAAGGGCAGCCCGACGGAAAGGGCAGGAGGCTTGATCAAACCTCCCCTGGTTGTGGCAGGGTGCCACAGGCAATAAGGTGCCACCAGGAATAAGGGGATTGGTTGCGCAGTAGAGTGCCAGCCACCAGGAATAAAGGGGACTGGGTGTGCAGGAGAGTGCCACCAGCAGAAGTTGGGAACAGAAGAAGGAGGGGAAATTATTTTGGTGTGTTTTGTGTATTGCATGCTGAAGTTATTTTGGTGTGTTTAGTGTGTTACATGTTGAAATTATATTGATGTGATTTGTATGTTGTATGTTGCTATGTTGCATGTCAGATACTCCAGTGGATGAATTGTTGAATGAGGGCCAAGGCTTAGTGTCCCCTTGGCCGAGCGATTGTAGGGCTGTGCATTTTCTGACAAACTGTAGCATGTGGAGTGTGAGAGAATTTTGAAAACCCAGTTAGGAGGGGAGTATCTGAAAAAAATAGGGTCTGGAGCAAGCCAATGTATTCCTCTGGAATGCTTTTTAAATAACTGGAAAACAGCCACGAAGAGTGATGATTCAAATTGAAAAAACAGAGACTCAAAACTTTATGTGAGGTGGACTTGCCAACCCAGGGAACTGCATGGCTTTGATTTGCAATTAATCAACCCCCTGTGGCAAATCAACCCCCTGTGGCAAAATATATTAAATGTCCACCCAGACCAGATCCCCTATATCTCTACATGGAAGACCAATGTAAAAAAAAAAGAATCTACCATGGCTAAAGTCTTGCTGTGACAGCAATACACAGAACAGGATTTGTACAGTGAAGCCTCTGGTGTTAGAAGACCCAGAAGATGAGGAGGGGGAGTGATTAAGCCACCACCTTACACTCCACCAACAGCCCCTCCAACCCCCCCCCCCAGGCCAAGATCAAGAAGCACAGGGAGGTGCTGGTGTAGGGGGAGGAGGACCTGCGAAGGAGGATAGTGAGACGGAAGAAGAGGAAGATGAGGAAGAGTTTAGGAAGACACTAGATGATATGAATCAAGGAAAGAAAATGTGGACAGAAAGACAGAAAAAGAGACTAAAGGAGTTTGTAAAGCCATCTGAGGAAGAAGTTGGATGTAAGCCCCTTGTTAGTTGAGGCAGCAGAATGCTGCACCCCTGAAAAGAGGAAGAGATGGCAACGTAAGTGGGGACAGGCGGCGAAGAGAGTTATGTCTCACAGACAGTATGAGAAAACCAGGAAGGATCAGGCAGCTGGAGAAATGCCCCTTCGGAGGGTTTATGATCCACCAGCCCCTGTCCCAGCTGGACAAGCGGAGGCACGGTCCAGCATATACCCTTTTCAAGTGCAGATGTTTGTAATTGGAGAAATCAAAATCCTTCCTTTGAGGAGAACCCAGCAAAGATCATAAAATTGTTTGGAGGGATTTTTAAAACCTATAATCCCACTTATGATGATGTACAATATCCCCTGGACTCACTACTAATTACAGAAGCATTGCTTGGCCCCTGCATGAGTCAACTAGGGGAATAGAGAAGGATCCTTTTATATGGGCAGGAAACAGCAGCAGGCTTTTCAGGATCTCAAAGTGACATTACAACAAGCCCCAGTGCTTGGCATCCAAACCCCAAGAAGCCTTTTACCCTGTTTGTGGATGAAGACCAGGGAACAGCAAAGGGAGTGCTATGCCAGAAATTGGGAAGCTGGCAACAGCCCGTGGCATACCTATCTGAGCGCCTGACGCCTACAGAACAAGGTTTACCGCCGTGCATGAGAGCAGTTGTGGCAGTAGCTACCCTATTGAACAAAGCCGACAAATTTACTTTTGGCCAAGACACTGTTTGTGTGACCCCGCATGCAGTCCCAGCTCTGCTTGACATAAAGGGTACCTATTTCCTCCCCCAAGCAAAGATGAGAAAGTGCCAGATGCTATTGTTGCACCCGCGTTAGAAATTCCAAGTCATCACAGCCCTCAACCCAGCTACCCTATTACCGGTAGGAGAAGGTGAGGAGCCCACGCATGACTGCATTGAAGTAATGAATGAGGTGTATTCTAGCAGGCCTGACCTTAAAGATGAAGCAGACCCCCAGTGGCCATCATGGTTTATGGATGGAAGCAGCTTCATTGAGGCTGGACACCGGAAGGCAGGTTATGCAGTGGTAGCCCTGGAAGACCAGGTGATCGAAGCAAAGTCACTCCCGCCTGGAACATCGGCCCAGCTGGCAGAGCTAACTGCGCTTACCAGAGCCCTGAGCCTGGCAAAGGGACAGAAGATAAACATTTATACAGATTCTAAGTATGCATTCCTGACTTTACATGCCCATAGAGCCTTATGGAAAGAAAGAGGTTTGCTTACCTCCAGAGGAAGCCAGGTGGCCCACCCACAGGCCTTGTTGAACCTTCTGGATGCTGTATGGAAGCCTGAGGCAGTGGCAGTTATCCATTGTTATGGACACAAGACTGGACCAGGAGAAGTGGCCAGAGGAAACCGATTGGCAGACAGAGTGGCCAAGGAAGCAGCCCAAGAACTGGCCCCCGCCTCGGTTATTGGAGCACTGGTCCCAGAAGAAATTTTAAGCACCACTGACAAGCCAGCTTATACGAAGCAGGAAAGGGACACTGCAGACGCTCAGGAGCTGACATTGTCCAACGAAGGATGGTACCTTACCCCTGATGACAGGATATGGATTCCAGAGTCCCTTTCTCGGCAGGTTACTCAGAGATACCATGATTCAACCCACATAGGGCCAGATGCTACAACCAAGCAGCTGGAGAAGTGCTTTTATATAGCCCACCTCTATCAACTGGCAGCCCAGATTTCCAGGAAATGCCTGCTGTGTCAAAAGAATAATCCCAGAGCCGGACCACTGGCTCCCCCAGGGATTCAGCATAGTGGAACTGCACCTATGGAAGATCTTGTCGTGGACTTTACTGAATTACCCCGTTGTGGACTACACCGCTACCTGCTGGTGACAGTGTGCACCTACACCGGATGGGCCGAAGCATGGCCAACAAAGACTGAAAAGGCATTTGAAGTAACCAGGTGCCTGCTTAGGGAAATCATCCCTCGCTATGGATTGCCAAGGTCCATAGGATCTGACAATGGACCAGCATTTGTTCATGCAGTCCTACAGGGACTGGCAAAAGCGCTCCAGATCAACTGGAAGCTGCATGCTGCTTATAGACCCCAGAGTTCTGGAAAAGTAGAAAGAATGAACAGAACTCTAAAGAATCAGCTGTCCAAGCTGACGCAGGAAACCGGGTCTAATTGGGTGACCATGTTGCCCTTGGCATTACTCAGGGTCCGCAGTCTCCCGTCAAAGCGAACCCACCTGTCACCCTTTGAAATTGTGCTTGGGAGACCGGTCCCATATGTCAGAATGTTGTCCCCACATGCTGGTCAGGATATGCAATTGAATAATTAAGTCCAGATATTCTTCCGAGTTTTCTTTTGTCTCGACAGGTGGACCCAGGCTCGCAACCCCTGTGTGTTGGCTGCATCAGTTCGAGCCAGGTGATGAAGTGTGGGTAAACGATTGGGCACGACGCAGCTACAACCGTGCTGGAACCTTATATCGTCCTGCTCTCCACACCCACCGCCGTGAAATTCGCCGGCATCACCCTTTGGGTCCACCACACCAGAGTGACCACTACAGATTGGACTGTGCAGTTAAATCCTGATTAACCCCTTCGGCTGACCATCAGCAGACCCTCCGCAGACGACCGCTCTGCTGATATCACACTGGAAGCTGATATCTCAACGCACAGCTGAAAAATTGGATGGGAGGGGCGCCCGCGGGCAGCGTCCCCAACGTAGAAACTTGCTCTCCAGCAAATTCCGAGGCACCAATCGGACTTTTGGTATTGGGTCCGGAACCCCTTGATATAGTCACCCCAAGTGTCAGGCCATTGCAGGGGTGGACATATTCCTGTGGGTGCATGCTGATATATGAAGAGGGAGGAGCCCCTTTTGGGTATAATATCTTGAAGAGACAACACGAGAGCCCAGTCCACCCACAAGGGATTGTAGGGAAATTGCTCCATATAGTAGGTGCCTCAGCAGAGAAGTGGAGAGGCACCCCTGAGGCCCGGCAAATAATTGAATACGAATATCAGTGGGCCCTTCAGCTGTAAAAGAAAACTAGAAATGACCCCCGAATATTGGTGGGAGGAACCATGGAGATATTGGGTTTGGTGGGTAGGAGTGATATGTACCGCCCTTGTCATATGGATGCTCTCGTATTTCTGTTGGCATGAACGGTATCGTATTTGTGGGAAGAATAGGCCCAATAATGCTTCTATTGCTTTTCTGCTTCTGTATACCCTGCTTAATGCAATGCCTGCAACATATGATGGGAAAGATGATGTCTCGCATGATGGGACCTCGCGTGATTGCTGTAATGAGAGAATATAGACCCCTACCCCAGAACGAATCTAAGTAATAGATTGTTCAAAAGAAGAGGACGGAGTAAAGGGAGATAGGAAAGGTTTCTCTCAATATTTTATTGTGTTGCTCTCAAATATTATCTACACATAATAAATTCCTGCACTCTGCTAGGAGGGTCAAAACAGCCCAAAATTGCAGTAGCTTGCAAGAGTCTAAAACAGACAGGTCAAGAGGTCATTTTCTGCCTAACCAGCTACTTGAAACTGCTGATATTAGCTACAGGTCAGAAGGTCGCTTCCTGCCCAGCCAGAAACTGCTGTTAACCGAAAAACCACTAGCAAGATGTTTCCTGCTTTACTTCTGCTTTTAAGTAATGCAAGAATAGGAAGAGATACGAAGAGAATGCTTAGCTAGAAAAAGAAGACACGTGTACAAGGAGGTGGGAGGGAGTGCTTGGCTTAGCAGAAAGACAGGAATGTCTAGCAAGCAATAAAATTGTGTTTAGCAAGCAATATTTGCTAGCCGATTGGGGAAGTCTGGGGGTATAAGAAAGTCTGTTGAAGTGTCTTGCTTTACAGCCAGTGTATTTTTAGGAACTATCCAGCTGGTTGTCTCTGAGTACAGACCTTGTCTCTGTGCACAGATCTCAATAAACTCTTTTTCTCCAAAGAAGATTTTGCTTTCCTGGTACTTTTGTTCCCTCCGAGGTCCAGGGGATGGCGTGGCTAATGGATCCCTAGGTAAATAAGGCTTCAACGAGACGCCATAGTTTAAGGTTAAATGGGCGAATTAGGCCACAACTTTATTGAATTCAGGAATGAGAGGCATTGGCTTAGGCATTGGTCCTAACGACTATCCGGCTCCAGCCCATTTGCTGGAGACACGGGGAAGGGTTAACACTAAATCGGGGGAGTCTCCCGCCGAGGCACGTCGACTAGGAGCTCCCCCGGGTCACCGCTCTGGGGCGTGCCTTTGGCCCTCACCTCCATAGGCTTCGGACAGGGCCACACCCCCCGGAGTCCTTTAACGGACCACCCTTCGCTCACTGGGGGGAGGTGATGGCGTTCCTCCCCCCCACACATCCTCTTAACCCCTTCTTACCAATGCCTACCGTCACACGAGCAATCGCTCGCCGCCAATACTCTCATGCCTGAAACCAATCCCTTACCCCCTTTGCTATATCAGTAAGCCACATGTCATTTCCCGCATCCGAAAGATGCACTCCATCAAGCCAAATATCATTTCCCGCATCTGAAAGATGCACGCCATCAAGCCGGTAGAGGGCCTCGCAGTTGCCTGGGTGGTCAATGACCCACCCACCCAGGGCTGCCACTCTACGCACCACCGCCCGATCCAAGGCTTTCCTAGCCCTATTTGTGGCTATCGGGCACCTGCTCTCTCCCCAAACCTGGCTTTCACCAGAAAGGGGGTCAACCTGTGCCAGCCTTTGTAAACACATCTAACACCTCACCTCTGCCCTGCATGTGTTAGATGGGGCCGTTCCTCTACCTTTGTCTCTCTCCTCTCTGGGACTGAAGCCTAAAGAACTGTTTTACAGAATATCTATACTTAAATCCTGCTTTATAGGCCCAACAGGTTCTCAAAGCAGCTTACAAAATATTCCCAAAGGAAAATGTCACTCAGATCTTTTTTTAAAAAAAACATCAGGTTTATTAAAGGTTTTAATAAACCTTTAATATATATATATAATTATAATTATATATAATACAATAATAACCAAACAAAGCTAATATTGAAAGAGAACAAAAGAAAAAAGAAAAGAGAGAGAGAGAGAAATGACCAACCACACAAATACAAAATTTTATTGGCTATCAACCTTCTATCTTAATCTTCAGCTCCCATCTTTCTCAGTTCCAACCCTGAGAAAAACCACTCTATCCTGCCTCTCTCACAGGGATTTCTTCTATCAATCTTCTCTCTGTGTGTATCTTCATATCATATCATTCATTTCATACTTACAAGTAATACTATTTAACATCAATTCAAAACGATCAAAAACTATATACAAAGAAACAAAGAAGAAAAAGGAAGTATTTCCACTCTTCTATCTGCCAATTATATATAATACAGTTATTTCCAGTATTTGGCATATTCATTCCAAAATGACTCCTAGCTATATTGCTAGGATACATACAGCTTTTTGGCACCCACTAATGGTATTTCTTCAAATTTCCTTCACAGGCTTCTGACATCTCCAATTCTGACACAATCAGTCTAATATGACTTTTTCTTTATTGCTATTTTTGAATGTCCCAAAATGATTTTTTCTTCAGTTTCTTGTGAGATATTCATTTTGTGGACTCCAGCAAATCTCAATAAAATGAGAGTCCACATTTATTTGCCTGTTGCTTAACCTCATGCTTTCCTCTCCAGCTTTTATATTTTTTTCATCTCCTTTCAGGAGATAGGCAGGATTTTCATCCATCTTCTCTTTAGCAATATTTTGAAGTGAGTTATCTTTTTTAAAAAAAATGATTTTCAGCTCTGCTTTTGCAACTTTCCCCCAGGAACTTTCCAAACACGTGGGGGAAAATCTCACTCAGATCTAATGGAGTACAAATATTATTGCACAGCCCACCCTGCACCAAATGGTCTATGGCAGGTTTTAAAAACTTAGCAACTAAAAACAAGATGGAATTAAAATCATGGAATTAAAATCACAGAACCAACCAATAGCAAAGCTAACAGAGCAGCTGCCAAGACAACCTCACAAGTGGGCCTTCCTTATCTGAGTTGCAGGCAGCATGTTTAGCACCAGAGTCAGCTCCCTCAAGAAAGAAAGTTCTTGAGATTTGGGCAGCTTCATCTCTCGTAAGGAGATCCGTGTACAGAAGAAGGCTTCTGTACTTGTATCACTGCTGGATTGGGAGCCATGTGCATAAACTGGATGTCCAGCTGTAGAGTTGAAAGGTACCCAAGGGTCATCTAGTCCAACCCCATGCAATGCAGGAATCTCAGCCAAAGCATCCAGGAGAGAGGGCCAGCCAAGCTCTGCTTAAAAAGCTCCAACGAAGGAGAGTCCACAACCTTCTGAGGGAGTCCAATCCACAGTCAAACAGTTCTTACTGTCAGTAAGTTTTTTCTGATGTTTAGTCGGAATCTCCTTTCTTGTAACTTGAATCCATTGGTTCAAGTCCTATACTCCGGGGCAGGAGAAAACAAGCTTGCTCCATCTTCCCTGTGACAGCCCTTGAAATATTTGAAGATGGCTCTCATTGGAATGCAGATCTGTCTGTCTACACCACATTTCTGTCAGCTGGGTGTCTTGTGCCTCCTATTAGAACATAGCAGCATAAGAAGAGCCTGATGAACCAGGCCAATGACCTGTCTAGTCCAGCATCCTGTTCTCACAGTGACTGTGAGGTGAAAGGTGGATTGTTGTGGTTGCTGTTGTTGCAATACAAAGAAGTGCTGGCGCTGTAGAGGTTCACAGGTCGCAAAATAGGTCTGGAGTGGCTATAGTTATTCAAATGCTACATGAACCTTCTGACGTTAAGAGCTATTCTACAGGGAAATGAACTCCCTCAAACAGTGATGGACTCCTCTTCATTGGAGTTTTTAAAGCAGAGGTTGGGTGGCTTTCTGTTTGGATTCTTTAACTGTAATTCCAGCATGGTATGGGGTTAGACTAGATTACCATTGAGGGACCCTTCCAACCTTATACTGCTAAGATTCTGGGATTCTTTGATATGCTGAGATGTAGCACTTTTTAAAATACTTCACAGCTTGTTGTTGTTGTTGTTTAGTCATTTAGTTGTGTCCGACTCTTCGTGACCCCATGGACCAGAGAACGCCAGGCACCTCTGTCCTCCACTGCCTCTCGCAGTTTGGTCAAACTCATGCTGGTAACCTCGAAAACACTTCACAGCTAGAGATGGACAAATTTGTACATGTTGTTCTCCCATTTTTCCAATCTTAATGTCCAACAGTTTGACTTCACGCCCAAAGATACACTCTTCCATTGTCTCCCAAAACAGGTGGATGCCAACAAACCCATCAGTTCATCACATTTCCATATGGTTTGCAATTTGATTTTTTTTTAAAAGTCCTCTGGAAAATTTGTCAGCATTTAAATGTACATATCACCTAATAGATACATTTTTGTAAGAATTTTTTCTAATCTTATTTTGACAAATGTGTGTATTTTTTTTTAAAAAAATGCACTTAGCACATGCATTTCCCTACACAGCTTTTGGTCGGAGAACTGCACTGCTGAATTCAAAGAAGAATGCATTTTGAAGGATGGCTGCATTTTGGTTTGTGTTGTAAAAAATAAGGCAGATTTGCAAAGGAAGCCACTTTTCTCCCCCATCCTTAACATTGGTCTCCACAAGGGGGAAATGCTCTTTCCAGATTCTGATATGGTTTATATATGCAGTGTCCAAAATGAGTCTGTGTGGCAAGGCTGCATTTCTCTGCTTGGGTGCGACAGGAGAGTCCAGCCTCTTCAGTCAGCATCCTTCATTTCCATGTAACTAAGTCTGGAAAAAAGGGGGCAAGATTGATAAATGCTGTCCTGCTTTTATGCCTCTTTAGTCAGACAAACACCAGCCCTTTGCATTTACAGTAGCAGCTTATTTTCTTTTTTACAAAAGAAGAATCTTTAAATGTGCTTTCTTAAATATGCAGATGTTCTATTGTCACAGTTCCACCACATAATGAACAGCTTTTAAATATTTAATCAAGCTTGTAAGCCAGCCCCACAGGCTCCCAGCACAGACTGTTGATAGCCAACACTGCTAAATGGCCATTAAGATGCCGAATGTCTCTTTTAAAATGTGCTTAACAAACTGGGAACATTACCTGCAGAGGAATGTGACCCCCTCGCTCCAACACTTGCCGGAGACTTGCCGGAGATGGAGGGAAATTAACGTGCTCTTGGCAAGTCCCATTACCAAGATGCCACCATGTGGCATGACACTCTCTGCCTCCAGTGGTGGTGTAATG